TGGACATTTCCTTAGTGCTAGGTTTCTCCATAACCACATAATGGCTCCCCCTATCAAGGCATCTCTTTCCTTGCTCTCCCTCTCTGTCCTTCCCCCAACTCAACCTTCCTGATCCCTCATGTTCTCTACTCCTCTCCCTCCCTCCTCCTTGTCCCCCCATGCTACCAATTAATTCAGGAGATCTGATCCATTTCCCCTTCATGTGTGTGGTGGGGGATCCATGTATATCTCTCTTAGGGCCCTCCTTGTTTTCTAGCTTCTCTGGGGTTGTGGACTGTAGTCTGGTTAACCTTTGCTCTATGTCTAATATCCATTTATGAGTCAGTACATGCTGTGTTTGTCTTTCTGGGTCTGGGTTACCTCACTCAGGATGGTTTCTTCTAGTTCCTTCCATTTGCCTGCAAATTTCAAGATATCATTGTTTTTCACCTCTGAGTAGTACTCCATTGTATAAATGTACAACATTCTCTTTATCCATTCTTCAGTTGAGGGGCATCTAGGTTGCTTCCAGGTTCTGGTTATTACAAATAATGCTGCTATGAACATAGTTGAATAAATGTCCTTGTGGTATGAGTGTGTATCCTTTGGGTTTATGAACAAGACTGGTATTGCTGGATGTTGAGGTAGATTGATTCCCAATTTTCTGAGGAACTGACATACTGATTTCCAAAGTGGCTGTACAAGTTTGCACTCCCACCAGCAGTGGAGGAATTTTCCTCTTTCTCCACATCCTCTCCAGCATAAACTGTCATTGGTATTTTTTATTTTAGCCATTCTGACAGGAGTAAGATGGTATCTCAGAGTTGTTTTGATTTGCATTTCCCTGATGGCTAAGGATATTGAGCTCTTTCTTAGATGTCTTTCAGCCATTTTAGATTCCTCTATTGAAAATTGTCTATTTAGTTCTGTACCCCATTTTTCAATTGGATTAGTTGGTGTTTTGGAGACTAGATTCTTGAGTTCTTTGTAACTTTTGGAGATCAGCCCTCTATCAGATGTGGGGTTAGTGAATATCTTTTCCCAGTCTGTGGGCTGCCATTTTGCCTTGTTTACTGTGTCCTTTGCCTTCCAGAAGCTTCTCAGTTTCAGGAGGTCCCATTTATTAATTGTCGACCACAGTGTCTGTGCTACTGGTGTTATGTTCAGGAAGTGGTCTCCTGTGCCAATGCTTTCAGGGGTAATTCCCACTTTCTCTTCTAAGAGATTCAGTGTGGCTGAATTTATGTTGAGGTCTTTGATCCATTTGGACTTAAGTTGTGCATGGTGATAGACATGGATCTACATGTTAGCATCCAGTTATGCCAGCATCTTTTGTTGAAGATGCTTTCTTTTTTCATTGTATAATTTTAGCTTCTTTTTCAAAAATCAGGTGTTCATAAGTGTGTGGATTAATATTAGGGTCTTCAATTTGATTCCATTGGTCCACCCATCTGTTTTTTATGTCAATACCATGCTGTTTTCTTACTATAGCTCTATAGTAGAGCTTGAAGTCACAGATGGTGATACTTTGGGAAATTCCTTTATTGTACAGGATTGTTTGGGCTATCCTGGGTTTTTTATTCTTCCATATGAAGTTGAGTATTATACTTTTGAGGTCTGTGAAGAGTTTTGCTGGGATTTTGAGGGTATTGCATTGAATCTGTAGATTTCTTTTGGTAAGATTACTATGTTGATACTGCCTATCCAAGAGCATGGGCAATCTTTCCATTTTTCAGATATCTTCTTTAGTTTCTTTTTTTAAAGACTTAAAGTTCTTGTCATACAGGTCTTTCATTTGTTTGGGTAGAGTTACGCTGAGCTATTTTATGTTGTTTGTGGCTATTGTAAAGGGTAATGTTCCTCTGATTTCTTTCTCAGCCCATTATTCATTTATATATAGAAGGACTACTGATTTTTTTTTAGTTAATCTTGTATTCTGCCACTTTGCTGAAGGTGTTTATCAGCTGTTTGAGTTCTTTGGTAGAATTTTTCGGGTCACTTACATATACTATCATATACTATCACATCTACAAATAGTCAAAGTTTGACTTCTTTTCCAATTTGTATCCTCTTAATCTCATTTTGTTGTCTTATTGCTCTAGCTATATCTTCAAGTGCTATATTTAAAAGATATGGAGAGAGTGGACAGCCTTGTCTTGTTCCTGATTTTAGTGGAATTACTTTGAGTTTCTCTCTATTTAGTTTGATGTTAACTATTGGCTTGCTATATGTTTCCTTTTTATATTTAGGTATGTTCCTTGAATCCCTGCTCTTTCCAAAACTTTATCATGAAGGGGTGTTGGAGTTTTTCAAAGGCTTTGTCAGCATCTAGTGAGATGATCATGTGCTTTTTTTTCAGCTTGTTTGTATGGTGGATTACACTGACAGATTTTCATATGTTGAACCATCCCTGCATCTCTGGGATGAAGCCTACTTAATCATGGTGGATGATTTTCTTAATGTATTCTCTGATTCCATTTGCCAGTGTTTTACTGAATATTTTTGCATTAATGTTCACAAGGGAGATTGAACTGTAATTCTCTTTCTTAGTTGTGTCTTTGTATGGTTTGGGTACCAAGGTAATTGTAGCCTCATAAAAAGAATTTGGCAATGTCCCATCTGTTTGTATTGTGGGGAACAATTTGAGGAGTATTGGTATTAGCTCCTCTGTGAATTTCTTGTAGAATTCTGCATTGAAACCATATAACCCTGGGTTTTTTATTTTATTTTATTTTATTTCATTTTGGTTGGGAGACTTGATAACTGTTTCTATTTCTTTAAGGTTATAGGTCTACTTAAACTATTTTTCTGTTCTTGATTTAATTTTGGTATGTGGTATCAATCCAGAAAATTTCCATTTTCTTTAAATTTTCCAATTTTTGTGGAGTACAGGTTTTTGAAGAATGACTTGATAATTGTCTGGATTTCCTCAGTGTCTGTTGTTATGTCCCCCTTTTCATTTCTGATTTTGTTAATTTGCATGTTCACTCTCTGTCTTTTGTTTAGTTTGCATAAGGGTTTGTCTATTTTGTTGATTTTATTGAAGAACTAACTCTTTGTTTCATTGATTCCTTGTATTGTTCTCTTTGTTCCTATTTTATCCATTTCAGCCCTCAATTTGATTATTTCCTGCGCTCTATTCCTCCAGGGTCAGTTTGCTTCTTTTTGTTGTAGAGATTTCAGGTAAGTGTTAAGCTACTAGTGTGGGAGTTCTCCAGTTTCTTTTCTTTTCTTTTCTTTTTTGCAGATTTTTTTATTTGAATTAGAAACAAGATTGTTTTACACGTCAATCCCAGTTCACTATCCCTCCCTTCCTCCCCTACTCCAGTTTCTTTATGCAGGCACTTAGTGAAATGAACTTTCCTCTTAGCACTGCTTTCAAAGTGTCCTATAATTTAGAGTATCTTGTGCATTCATTTTCATTGAATTCTAGGAAGCCTCTAATTTCTTTCTTTCTTTCTTCCTTGACACAGGGGAAGGAATAAAGAAATGAATCACCCATGAATTAGGGGTGATTCATTTGAGCATCATTCGGTTTCCATAAGTTTGTAGGCTTTCTGTAATTTTCATTGTTGTTCAATTCTAACTTTAAGCTATGGTTATCTGATAAAATACATGGGGTTATTTCATTTTTTTTATTTGTTGAGGTTTGTTTTGCTGCCAAGTGCCAAGTATGTGCTCAATATTATAGAAGGTTCATGAGGTGCTGAGAAGAAGGTATATCCTTTTGTGTTCGGGTGGAATATTCTATAGATGTCTGTTAAATCCAGTTGAGTCATAACTTACGCTAGTTCCTTTATTATTTCTGTTAAGTTTCTGTCTGGCAGTCCTGTCTAGTGGTGAGAGTGGGGTGTTGAAGTCTCCCACTATAATTGTGTGGGGTTTGATGTGTGATTTAAGCTTTAGGAGTGTTTCTTTTACAAATGAGGGTGCCCTTGTATTTGGGGGCATAGATGTCCAGAATTGTGGCTTCCTCTTGATGGATTTTTCCTGTAACAAATATGAAATGCCCATCTTTATCTTTTTGACTGATTTTAGTTTGAAGTCTATTTTGTTAGGTATTAGGATAGTTACACCATATTGCTTCTTAGGTCCATTTGTTTGGAAAATCTTTTCCCAATTCTTTACTCTGAGGTAATGTCTGTCTTTGAAGTTAAGGTGTATTTCTTGTATTCAGCAGAAGGGTTGATTCTGTCTTTGTATCCATTCTGTTAGCCTCTGTCTTTTTATAGTCGAATTGAGACCATTAATATTAAGAGATATTAATGGCCAGTAATTGTTTATTCCTGTTGGTTTGGCTTTTGATGGTGGTGGTGGTATTGTGGATTTACTTCCCAATTTTTGGGTTTTGCTTGTGTGGAATCATCTATTGCCTATGTTTTTGTGGATGTAGCTAACTTCCTTGGGATGGAGTTTTCCTTCCAGTACTTTCTGGATTTGTGGATATGTATTGTTTAAATCTGGTTTTGTAATGGAATATCTTGTTTTCTCCATCTACAGTGATTGAAAGCTTTCCTGGGTATAGTAGTCTGGGCTGGATCTGTGGTCTCTTAGTGTCTGTATAAGATCTATCCAGGACCTTCTGGCTTTCAAAGTCTTCATTGAGAAGTTAGGTGTAATTCTGATAGGTCTGCCTTTATATGTTACTTGGCCTTTTTCCTTTGCTACTTTATTCTGTATATTTAGTGTTTTTATTATTATGTGGCAAGGGGACTTTTTTTGGTAGAATCTATTTGGTGTTCTGTAAGCTTCTTGTAGTTCCATAGGCATGTCCTTTAGGTTGGGAAAGTTTTCTTGTGTGATTTTGTTGACTATGTTTTCTGTGCCTTTGAGCTGGGCTTCTTCACCTTCTATCCCTATTTTTCTTAGGTTTGGTCTTTTCATGGTGCCCCTGATTTCCTGGATATTTTGTGTTAAGAATGCATTGTATTGAAAATGGTACAAGGCAACCTGGGCGACCTAGAGGGGAATTGAAGGAGACGAGCTGAGGACACCAGGGCAGGGTCGAGGCTGTTGCCGTCATGCCAGGGATAGTGGAGTTGCCCACTCTGGAAGAGCTGAAAATGGAGGAGGTGAAGGTCAGCTCAGCCGTCCTTAAAGCTGCTGATCACTATGGGGCTCAGTGTGATAAGGCCAATAAGGAGTTTATGCTGTGCCACTGGGAAGAGCAGGACCCCAGGCGCTGTCTGCAGGAGGGCAAGCTGATCAACAGCTGTGCGCTGGACTTCTTCAGGCAGGTAAAGCGTCTCTGTGTAGAGCCTTTCACAGAGTACTGGACTTGCCTTGATTATTCCAACCTGCAGCTGTTTCGTCACTGCCGCAAACAACAGGCCAAATTTGACCAGTGTGTGCTGGACAAGCTGGGTTGGGTGCGGCCTGACCTTGGGGAGCTGTCCAAAGTCACCAAAGTGAAAACTGAGCGTCCTTTACCAGAGAACCCTTATCACTTAAAAGCGAGGCCGGAGCCCAGCCCTGTGATAGAAGGGGATCTGAAGCCTGCCAAGCATGGCAGCGGATTTTTTTTCTGGAACGTGTAAGGATGGGTCGATGGCCCACACGCGGCCAGATGACAGCTGATGAAAATACCCATGCTGCTCACGTGTTCTTTCCTGGATCACGGACATTAACAAAAAGTTGATTTATGTGACTTGGCAGTTATTCTATACATTTCCTGTCCATTAAAATTTTAAAGGAAAAAAAAAGAATGTGTTGGGTTTAACATTTTCTTTGATTAATGACTCTATTTCCTCTGCTGTATCATCAACACCTAGATTCTCTCTTCCGTCTCTTGTATTCTGTTGTTTACGCTTGCATCTGTAGTTTCTGATCTTTTACCCAGATTTTCTATTTTGAGCATTCCCTCCGTTTGTGTTTTCTTTATTGCCTCTATTTCAGTTTTCAAGTCTTGAACTGTTTTTCCTCTACCTGTTTGATTGTTTGTTCTTGGGTTTTCTTGCTTTCTTTAAGGGATTTGTTGATTTTTTTTCTGTTTTTTGTTTGTTTGTTTGTCTTCTCCATTTCTTTGTGGGAGTTTTTCATTTCCTCTCTAAGAGCCTCTACCATCTTAATAAAGTTATTTTTAAGGTTGTTTTCTTCTGCTTCATCTGTATTGGGATGTTCAGGACTTGCTGGTGTAGAACCCCTAGTCTCTGGTGGTGTTATGTTGCTCTTTGTGTTGTTGAATGTATTCTTACACTGTTGTCTACCCATCTCTTCCTCTAGTGAGTGAAGATCAGCCTGTGCTTCAGGGGTTCTCTCTTCCTCCAATTAGTGTAGGTAGGGCCTGTGACTTACATGGTCACTTTTCCTACAGGTTCAGGCAGTTCTGTGTCTCTGCTGGACAATGATACAGCTCTGAGGCTCTTCTAGGTGTAGGCAGGGCCAAGGCTCCAGTGGTCACAGATGCCATGGGGATGCTTGGGGCTTCATTGGGCGGGGATGTGTCTCTGGGATTTAGGACCTTCAGTGGGCAGGGGTGGGCCATGGGATGTACCCCAGGTGATTATGGCCTAGGGAGCTGGGTCCTCCACCTGGGTACCCAGACACTCATCTCTCCAAGTGCGTGTGGAGCCAAGGCGCCAATAGTTGCTGGTGCCATGGGGGATGGTATAAGGTGTCAGGAGGCTGTTCCCATGCCTCTGGGGCTTCAGCTGGGTGTGTGTAGGGGAGGGGTGCAGGATGTGTCTTTGGGAGCTAGGGCCTAAATAGTAGGGTCTTCCAGATGGGGGACCCAGATACTCATCTCTCCATTTGGGGGTGGGGCAGAGGTTGTAGATGCCCTGGGGGATGGCATGTGGTGTGGGAAGGCTGCTCCCAGGTCTCTGGGGCCTCAAAGGGTAGGAGTAGGGCATGGGACATGCCCCTGATGATTAGGGCCTAGAGAGCAAGTTGGGGACCTCCAGTTGGGGACCCAAACATTCACCTCAACTTTATCTTTCTTTACAACTGCATAAAATTCCACTATATATTCATTGTATTTTTAGTACCAGTTCTCCAGAGATAAACATTAACTAGTTTGTTTCTTGGTACAGTTGTTGATATGTCCTGGTCCCAGGATGAACAGCCAGTCTATTATGAAAAAACAGATGTGAAAGCTGAAATCGGTAAGTGACTGAAAACCAACTCCCCCAAGTGCCTGTTGATGTCTCTGTGTTGTGGTCACTTGTGGCCCTGGCCTCCAATGTAGACATCGCTGTGGTATTGTCACTTGTATCCCTGGCCTCCACTGCAGATACCACTGTGGTGTGGTCACTTTCGCCTCTGGCCTCCAATGTGCTTTACTTGTTTCAATTGTGAGATAGAAGCATGGGGTAGCATTGAGGATGACACATGTTCACAGGCATCCACACACAGGGACAATCTTCTGGATTTCTTCAGAGTTATAAAGCCTTTACTTTCCTTCTTTGGAATAGATGGGACCAAGATTCTGGTATTCTTCTTAAGGTGGGGAGTGGCTGGTGGTAGTGCAGTTTTCTATGGGTTCCCTGTCAAGGGAGAATCTTAACTCTGAAGTTATTTTCACTTTTTATAAATTGTCTTAGAAAATGTATAATATAGTGAATTTCTTTATGACTTTTTCTATAGGTATAGTATTGGATTTTTTCAAATGTTTGCCATCTTGTCGCTCTCTCTGTTTCCCTACATACTAAAGAATGTGTGCCCCCACAACAGTTTCATTTCTGTTACATATATATATTCCATGTAGAAGAACATATCATGTGATATTTTTCCTTTCTTGTGTTCTTTGTTGTTGTTTCCATTATCCTTTCTTGTCATCCTCTTCTTCCAACATTTTTTTTTTTGAGACAGGATCTCTATGTGTATCTCTAACTGTCCTAGAACTTGCTTTGTAGACCAGGCTAACCTTGAACTTCTGCCTCCTTCTGCCTCCCAAATGTTGGGACTAAATGCATCTGACACCAACACTCAGTTCCCTTCCTCCATTTTATATATAATTTCCCCTCCTACTATCAGATTTTCAGATAGAAAGGTAATATACAGGTGGGTGATAGATTGTATAGACAGATAGATTGACTAACAGACAGACAGATAGACAGATAGCACACAGATGGATGGATATATGAAGAAAACCTGTTATCTGGCTTATTTTGCTTAATATGATAATTTCCAATTCTACTCAGTACCCTGAAAATGACATACATTCATTCCTTTGCATGGTTGAGGAAAACCCCAGTGTAAATATATGCCAATTTTCTTTATCTATTCATTTAAATACAAATTAAAATTTATATTTAAATATTTCAAAATCTCTCACTAGAAATTCCCAAACATCTAGTACATAGCTTTCTAAAGCATATTTCAGTCTCTTCTGTAACATTGGTCAAGTACCTATTGCCTAGACTGATTTTTTTTTCCTTTTTGTTTTGTTTTGATTTTATTTTCAAGACAGAGTTTCTTTGTATGGCCCTGGCTGTCCTGAAACTCACTCTGTAAACTAGGCCAGCCTTGAACTCACAGAGACCCACTGCCTCTGCCTCCTGAGTGCTGGGATTAAAGGTGTATGCCACCACCACTGGACTTAAGCTGAATCTAACCTAGGTCCTAGGCATCTTGTTCAAAGTATTAGAGAATTGCATGCAAAAAGTAGTAAAAAAAATAAATTATTCAGAAGGGGAATTACAAGGAAGATACAGTGCAAAGGATCAGTGAGCTTCAGGGAGATTGCTCAAAACTCCTGGGTTACATCTCTGGGTTACCATTTATGCATCCTGGATGAGAAGGAGATAGACCCCAAGATACTGTGAGAACTCCTTCCCTGGGAGACAAAAACTGCCTCCTCATAAGGCCACAACCAAAATCCAAAGAAAAGTTCCACCAAAATTTACCCTTGGAATCCAGAGTTTGTTGGGCTTACTTACAGAGCATGGGTGAGTGGTTACTCACAACCCAGCCAGATACACTGAGAGTCTTCTTATAGCCTGGTTGGCAGTTTTTCCATAGCAGCATAGATGGAGCCCTCCTCAATTAACCTCACTCAGTCTATACACCCAAGAAAATCCTGAGCCCCCAAGGCTATGTGAAAGCCCCCAAGGCTGTGTGAAATTGGGTTATAATTTTATGGCTGGCTGGGAGGAGCTGCTGAAATCTTGGGTGAGGGTCCAATGACATGTCTTATCTCCCATGAGAGAATGCCAGTGGTCAACAACCCCCATCTTGAAAGAATCTTATAATAGGTACAACTGACTTGATGAAGATAGTGACAGTGGTTTTTTGTGTTTTGCTTGTTTTTTTTCTCATTAAACTTGTATTTTAATGGGTCTCAAAATTCTGTGACAGATTTTTGGTCAAGTTGTTTCCATTAAAAAGTACTGATTTTGAAAAATAATAACTTAAAACTGCCACACACACACACACACACGCACACACACACACACACACGCACACACACACACACACACGCACACACACACACACACACACACACACACACACACACACACAGTCCACAAAGCATTCACCTTTTTCCTGAAGGTTTTCTGATGCATTGTTATTATTAACCAGTCTTTCACTATTAAACTTAAATGGTCAATTGGGACAAACAGTTCTGAGACCGTTCTTCCACCACTGATTAAGACTGGGATGGCAGTTGTTAGGGATAATATTCATTTAGCCTTCTGAGCTTTCTGGGCAGACTTGGTGACTTTGCCAGCTCCAGCAGCCTTCTTGTCCACAGCTTTGATGACACCCACAGCAACTGTCTGCCTCATGTCAGGAACAGCAAAATGACCCCGTGGAGGATAGTCAGAGAAGCTCTCAACACACATGGGCTGGCCAGGAACCATATCAATGATGGCTGCATCACCAGATTTCAAAAATTTAGGGCCATCTTCCAGCTTCTTACCAGAAGGGCAATCAGTCTTCTCCTTAAGCTCAGCAAACCTGCATGCTATGTGAGCTGTGTGACAGTCCAATACAGGAGCATAGCCAGCACTAATTTGGCCTGGATGGTTCAGGATAATCACCTGAGCAGTGAAGCCAGCAGCTTCCACTGGTGGGTCATTTTTGCTGTCACCAGCAACGTTGCCACATCTGACATCTTTGACAGACACGTTCTTTACATTGAAGCCCACATTGTCTCCAGGAAGAGCTTCACTCAAAGCTTCGTGGTGCATTTCAACAGACTTTACTTCTGTTGTGACACTGACTGGAGCAAAGGTAACCACCATTCCAGTTTTTAAAACACCAGTCTCCACTCTGCCCACAGGAACAGTCCCAATACCACCAATCTTATAGACATCCTGGAGGGGCTTGTCAGTGGAACAAGTTGGTGGCAGGATACAATCCAAAGCTTCTAGCAGTGTGGTACCACTGGCACTGCCATCTTTAAGGGTGACTTTCCATCCCTTGAACCAAGGCATATTAGCACTAGGTTCCAGCATGTTGTCACCATTCCAACCAGAAATTGGCACAAATGCTACTGTGTCAGGGTTGTAGCCAATTTTCTTAATGTAGGTGCTGACTTCCTTCACAATTTCCTCGTATCCCTTCTGGCTGTAAGGTGGCTCGGTGGAATCCATTTTGTTGACACCAACAATTAGCTGTTTCACACCCAGGGTGTAAGCCAGAAGGGCATGCTCACAGGTCTGCCCATTCTTGGAGATAACAGCCTCAAATTCACCAACACCAGCAGCAACAATCAGGACAGCACAGTCAGCCTGTGAAGTGCCAGTAATCATGTTTTTGATAAAGTCTCTGTGTCCTGGGGCATCAATGATGGTCACATAGTATTTGCTAGTCTCAAATTTCCACAGGGAGATGTCAATAGTGATACCACATTCACGCTCAGCTTTCAGTTTGTCCAAGACCCAGGCATACTTGAAGGAGCCTTTTCCCATCTGGGTAGCCTCCTTGTCAAACTTTTCAACGGTTCGTTTGTCAATTCCACCACATTTATAGATCAGGTGGCCAGTTGTGGTGGACTTGCCTGAATCTACGTGTCCAATGATAATGATGATGATATGAGTCTTTTCCTTTCCCATGTTGGATTTGAATTAGCAGTGGTTTTCACAACACCTGCATTCTGAAGGCAAACCCGTTTCGAAAAAGCGAGGTTTTTGTTTGTTTGTTTGTTTGTTTTTTTAACAGGGTCTCTCTATGTTGCTCTGGTTATCCTGGAACTCACTATACAGACCAGGTTGGTCTTAAGTCACAGAGCTCTACCTGCCTTTGCCTTCTGAGTGTTGGGACTACTAGCATGGTTGCTGTTTTGCTCAGTGGACTGTGTTCTACAATACGGGGACAGAGTTACCTGTGTAATATTCCTGTCACTATTACATCAATGGCCATATCCTGCCACATTGGTCATCACATTCTCAGGGTTCATAGCAGGATGAGACTGTTGGTAGCTTTTCTACCCCAGAAGTCTACACAGCAGCTTCCAGGACAATAGAAACTAGTCAGGAGGAAATAGGTTTCCAGACCACTGTCGATTTGATTTTTCCATGTCCTGTGATTAAACTGTGTGGTCTCTTCAGCATTACCATCAGTTTCTAGTGAGCAATCAAAAGCAACCTGACAAGGCTCTTATTTTTTTCTTCAGTGATTTGAGCAGATGAGAAGCTGATGATGAGAGCATGAACCCAGTGTCATGCTCTGGGTTCCAAAAGGCTTCTGGATCAAATAGTTCTGTAGTGACTGCCCAGAGAGGGGCTGAGGAGGCATGGGTACTTCCTAGACATTTGTTCCTGTGAAATGGAAGATGTCATTCTGTACTCATGTGTCCTGGGAAGTTGAGACCTAGACTTGTGGCTATGGAAACCTAGAAGCTTGAGCCCTAAAGTCATGTGTCTGGGCAGGAGTATGCTGGTGGCCCGTGTGTCCCTGGGCCCAGCTGATGCAGGGCACATGTGTGCTGAAACCACATCCTTCTCTTCCACAGGGTGTGCAAGACATGGCCTGGTCCCCCTGGTGCTGCAGCTGCTTTTCCTCATCCTCTTCTCTGGGGTCCTTGTGGCATTTCTTCTCCAAGGTCAGATGACTCCGAGTACTTGGGATCTTAGTGCTGGTCTGTTGGCGGGTGCAACCAGATCTAGGAGGGAGACAAGACTGAAGCTAGAACCTGGTCCTTCTGTGACTTCTAAGCATAACTCAGGACTCCTCACCTACAAAGCAGGGAAAGGGAGGAGGAACAGGAGAGGGTCTTCACTCCACTTGCCCTTGCAATTCCGTCTTTCCTGAGTGGCGAGACACTCTCCCTCTCTCTGTGGTGTGTGTATGTGTGTCTGTGTCTGTATTTGTGAGTGTGTGTGTGTGTGTGTGGTGTGTCTATGTGTGTGTGTGTGTCTGTGGTATGTGTGTCTATGTGTGTGTGTCTGTGTGTGTGTGTGTGTGTGTGTGTCTGTGGCATGTGTGTCTATGTGTGTGTGTGTCTGTGTTTACATGCACATGTATCTCCCTGGATGAACACACACATGTATGTGCATGTATGTAGTTGCTGAGGGACAGCCTCAGTGGTCATTCCTCAGATTCTGCCCACCTTGTTTTTTGAGAAATGGCCTATTTTTAGTTCTAAGGTCATCAACTCAAATAAGCTGGTCTGGCTGGCCAGTGAACCCAAGGCATCCACCTGTTCTTGAATCTCCAGAACTGTGATTACCAATGCATACCAACAAACATGCCTGGATTTTAGAATGTGGGTTCTGCACAACTGGTGAGCCTGCATGGGACTGACCTATGCCCTCTCCATGTGTTTGACAGTTGTGTAGCTTGGTCTGTTTGTAAGCCTCCCAGCAGCGAGATCAGGACCTGTCCCTGGCACATAGCTGGCTTTTGAGAACCTGTTTCCCATGCTGGATCATCTGGCCCAGCCTTTATGCAGTAGGAGGAGCTCAGTCCTACCTAAACTTGATGAGCCATGCTTTGTTCAAGCCCATGGGAGGCCTGCCCCTATCTGAATGGAGATGGAGGGAGAGTGGATACGGAGGGGGATGGATGAGAGTGAGGAGGAGGGAAAGGGAGGAGAGGAGGGAGAGGAAACTGTGGTTGGTGTGTAAAATAAACAAATAAAACATCAATTAACCAAAATAAAATTTTAAAAAAGAACGTGGGTTCTGGGAAATGGCATTCAGGTCCTCGTGCTTACAGGACAGCATGTTACCAACTAAGCCATCTCTCCAGCCCAGTATTCCTCATTCTCAAGAGTTATATAACAATAAATGGCTCTCAGACACTGTTCCTACATAAGCAGTGCAGACCACGCACACTGTAGGTATTTAACGGTTGCAGTTTCTTTCTTTTTTTTTTTTTTTTCTTGGCTACAGCTCCAAAGGTTCCATGCACCCAGGATCAGGAGGAGATCTACCAGGAGCTCATGCAGCTGAAGCTTAGAGTTGGTGTGTGATCAGGAGCTGGCTCTCCAAGGGTCTTAATGGGTATCCATGTGGGGACACTTTGGTTGAGTTTGACCCCTTTAAGCCTTAGTATTCTTCCTTGTCAGTTGGGAATACAGGATAACACCAAAACTGGTTTTTAGTGTACACAAGAAAGTATATACAATAAGGATCCAATTATGCCAGTTTCCTGGAGTCTGTTCTGAGATCTTAGCTCCTACTTCTCCTAGTGTGAATGAGATGGGGCCAGGACTCCTGGGTTCCTTTAGGATGAGAAAAATTTGGGAAGTGGAGAGGGTGATGTCTCTCCACTGTGATGTTTGGGAGTTCCTGACTCTGGAGGGCTGGAAGGCTAAGCAGATATGGGATAGACAACCAAGTATGGGTTTATTCTAACTAGCCTCCCCCAACAGACCTCCTGTGCCGACCCTGCTCCTGGGACTGGATCTTTTTCCATGGAAACTGTTACTTCTTCTCCGTAACTAAACGTAACTGGACTGATTCCCTCATTGCTTGCCAGGAAGTTGGGGCCCAGCTAATCATCATTGAAAGTTATGAGGAACAGGTATGCCTGATTCTGGGGTGGGACATACATTGTTTTGTTGTTACAGATTTCATTCATCATATCTGTCTAAACCTATTCTTATTCCCCCTCCAATTCTTTTCTTATTATCCCAATAATTTTTCCTTCCAACATCATAGACTTTCTCTTTCTAAACTTATGGAGTCTCCTTAGAACTGCCTACATGCACATGGGTATAAGACTGGTGCGTGGGCAGCCACTCAGGAGCTACATGTCTGAAAACACTGACTTTCTCTCCTTAAAAGCCACCAGTTGTCAATATTCTTCAGCTAAGGGTGAAACTCCATGAGCCCCTCTCCTGTCTAGGTTGAAAGTTTGGGTGACTTGATGTTGTGCAGCCACTGTGAGTTCAAGTGTGCAATTGCCCTATTCATTTCACCTCAGATGGCCACTACCTCTGGCTCTTACAATCTTTTCCTCCCTTCCTTGATTACTGAGCCTTGGAGTGAGGGGATGTAATTCAGATGGGGGCTGCATTTTTATTACATGATAAGCAATTGAAGGTGAATGGACATATAAATTTCCAAGGGGAAATGGAAGAGAAGAGGGTTATGAATTGGGGCAACACACACACACACACACACACACACACACACACACACACCAAACAAGTCTTGACCATGTGTGTAAGATTTGGGGGAAGACTTGAAAATATAAAGAATCCCTAGTGGTAGGTTGGCTAGTACTTAATAACTTGCTTTCTGAAGAGAAACGTCTGCTTTGTGCCATTGACCAATTGCTAGAACAGTTCACACATTCAGTCAGTCATGAGTAAATCGAAGTGGGCATGCCTAGAGCTCACAAACCAGAGGAACATGAAATAAAATAAGTGTAACATAGAGGGATACTCCCTGAGCCTAGACACACAGGGGAAGGCCTGGGCCCGATCCCAAAGAATATGACAGACTCAGAAGACCCCCTACAGAAGGCCTCACCCTCCCTGGGGAGCAGAAAGGGGATGGATAGGTAGGGTGTTAATGGGGGGCAGGGGAGGAGAGGAGGGAGAGGGAACTGGGATTGACATGCAAAACAATCTTGTTTCTAATTTAAATTAAAAATGGAGAAAATAAAATAAAATGAGTGCATTGACAAGAGGCCATCTGTATACTTCTCCTTGCAAGTCATTTGCTTATAGGGTACAGAGACCGGAGGCCTCAGATCTCCTGAGCATGTTGGAGAGCACGGTGTGGTTCCCTAGAGGGTCTGACTGCAAGCAGGACTTCCCGTCTAGACTTTATAGGGACACTGGATAGGAAATCAAATACTCAGCTGAATCTTAACTATCTTCTCTCCTTTCAGGACTTCCTACTGAAGATGTGTAAGCTTAAAGGCCATCTCTGGATTGGCCTGAAACATGAAGGTACATGGGAGTGGGTTAATGGTTCATCTTTGTCACCAAGGTAAATCAAAAACCAAGGACAAAATGAGGGTGAATGTACTGGTGTCTGAAACACTAATATGAACTATCCTTGCCTGGGGTTTTTATCCCCTAGACATAAAAAAAAAATGTCACTTACTGAGTGGAAAGGGGGATTCATGCCCAAGTTCAGGTAAGATGGCAAATGCTTTGAAATTCCAGTAGTAGAAATGCAGGAGGAGCTTGGAGTCTGGGAAACTGAAATATTGTGTATAGTTATAAAGAATCTAAAGGGTTGGGGAGATGGCTCAGTATTTAAGAGCTTGCATGGTTCTTGCAAAGGAATGAGTTATGTTCCTAGTAGCCATGTCAGGCAGTTCACTGCCACCTGTCACTCCCAACTATAGGGATTCAAATAATGCACACATCACACACATACACTCACATACACACACACACACACACACACACACACACACACACACACACACACACACACATTCTAAAACAAGAATCTGCTATATGATTAAGCCAATAGCTCTGGAGATGTTTGCTATTGAGAAGATTAGATGCCCAGTTTCCCAGGAAAGGGTACACACCACACCTGAGTGACCATGTGCACAATGACCAGAATCAACCATGACATGAGAAGACGGGGCGGGGAGATGTGGCCAGGAGCCCGCACCATAATTATGCAGGAAGGATTAGACTGATACAGTAAAACAGGTTTTGGATTGGCCCATTTAATCATTCCAGTGGGTTCAATTGCCAGCGGGTATCTGCTGCCTGCCCCGAATGGTTAAAATGGATGCATAGCAGCCAGGGTGCAAAAGCCTGGTAATCCAGTTGGGAGGTGAAGTCTCAACTAACTGATTTTTGTCTAAACATCACACCTTCAGCAGGACTTCTCTCTAGGCAGAAGGCTCTGGGGTCAAGGACAAGGCACTAAGCAAGTTACCAGACTACAACAAAATATGTCTGCCATAGGTGCTCAGGGAAAATATGAAGACACCTAGTTTCCAGGAGCTTGAAACTGTTTATAGATGAGGGGAGGGTCACAGGTTCACAGTGTGCATGGGTTTTGCAGCTTTAAAAAGTTTTGGACCTTATGGAAAAATGACGACCATTCAGAGGACTGTGCAGAACTGACAGATCATGGCTGGAATGAAAACAACTGCAAAACGGAGAAATTCTGGATCTGCAAGAAGTCCTCAGCATCCTGCCCCAACAATTGATGCTCAGGTCCTCCCATCAGCCCTTGAAGCTCCAACCTCCCTGACAGGTGACCCGACTTTATTTTCTACACTTACGCTGATCCATTTTCCCTGTTAGCAATAACTCTGCTATTGTCTTCCGTCAGGTCCCTCCTCTCCTCAAGGGCTGGTCCACTGCTGCCTTCCCTTGGATTATCTCCAGACACCACTTGGCTTAGTGGTTGTTGTTCTGGCATTTGTTTGCAACTTAATACAATGGCCAAGTGTGATATATCCTCAGAGGCTGTGTGCTCATCTTTATAACTGTCTTCCTTACTGAGATTAGAGGGTCTGCATCGCCATGTTTCACTCCACAGTGCCAGAGGCGCTACACTAACCCATTCCTGCATGTTTTCCTTCCATCTATCTCCCCTATACAAATTTTCTGGTGATTGTCCCCAATTGCTTCAGCTTTGTCTGCAGCCTGCTAGCATCAGGGAATTAATCCACCAATCCAACAGTGCTTTGGGGATGAACTTTCTCTTCAACTGGTGGTTCTGTGGCAGATGTGTCTCTCACATCTCTCTTCAAGAAAGGGCATGTTGCCATCACAGAGATACTTACACAAATTTATTGCCGCACTATTCGTAATAGTGGAATCCACACTGGTGGCCAACAAAGGAAGAATAAAGAAGGGTTTCTATTGCTGTAATAAACACCATGACCAAAGGTAACTGGGGGGGGGGGTCAGGGTTTATTCCATCTTACAGCTTCAAAGGAAGTAAGGGCAAGAACTCAAGGCAGGAGTTGATATAAAGTCCATGGAAGAATGCTCTTTACTGGATTGCCCCTCCCCCCATGGCTTGCTCACCCTTCTTTCTTATACATCCTAAGACTGCCTGTCCAGGTATAGCAGTATGGGCCCTTACACATCAACCACAATAAAAATGCCCTACAGACTTGCCTATAGGCCTCTCTTATGGAAGCATTTTCTCAGTTAAGATTCTTTCTTCCCAAATTATCCTAGCTGTGTCAACTTGACATTTTAAAAAACTGGTCAAAACAACAGAATAGATTTTTTTCTCAGTCACAAAGAGGAATAAAGTCAACATAATTCACAGGAAAATGGATACAATTAAAGATAATCACATTAAACCAGCCAGTCTCAGAAAGACAAATACGATGTATGTTATCCCATTTGTGGTTCCTATATAGTCACATAAATCATGTATTCATATGTTAAGTGAAAGTAGAAATAAAGTTGTCTAGGGGAACAAAGGGAGAAAGTGGGGCAAGAGGGGGGAGGTGGGCAGGATACACTCAACATATGATACATACTAGTAAGAAAGTCAAAACTTTTATTAAATTGATTTGTACAGAGGTCAGAGAACAACTTACTGGAGTCAGTCTCTCCTTCTACCATATGAGTCCCTAGGATCAAATACAGGTCATCAGGTTAATAGTGAGTGCCTTTTCCACTAAGCCATCTCATTAAGAGTCCTCCATTTTGGGTGAGAATGTCAATTCCATGACATTTTATCTTTGGAGTGTGTAAACTTTTAAATTCTGTTTTACACAGGCTAAAAGATTTCCTTGCATCTAAAAAGACTTTGAATTTTGGCCTCTAGAAAGTGTGAACACTTGGTAGACAGTAAATATATTTGCATTACAAAATGACCACAAAACATTTGGGGGCCTTAGATGGGATGCTGTGACTTTAATATGCAACTCACCTCTCCGCGACTCATGTGTTGTAGAATAATCTTTTTATACACTGTGAAGATTCTGTGTTATGAGAAATTCTTTACCCAGCAAGGTCCCGCTGCCCTTGGACCACAAATAAACATGAACAGACTTATATTAAGTATAAAACTGTTGGCCAATGACTAGGGCTTCTTATTGACTAGCTCTGTCTTAATTATGAATTCATTTCTATTAATCTAAGTATTTCTACATGGCCTTATCTTACCGGAGAAGGGTCTGGACCTCTAAATCCTTTGGTGGCTCACATGACAACCGTTCTCTGCCTACCCTTCCCAGAAATCTCCTATTCCCACCTATCTTCCTGCCTTATTGGCCAACAGGTTTTTAATCATTAACCAATAAGAGAAGCATATTTACAGAAGGACAACCCCCATCAAAGATGTGTCTTTTCCAAGGTGCCTTCTGATTGGTTTAGTAAGGAGCTGAATGCTTAATAGCTAGGCAGGAAGAGATTAGGCAGAACTTAGCAGAGAGAAAAGGAGAGGAGATTAATCTAGGCATAGGGGAGATGCCAGAGGAGGCAGAGAGGAAGCAGGATATGTAGGAGGAGAGGTAAAAATCACGAGCCATGTGACAACATGTAGATTAATAGAAATGGGTTAATCTAAATTATAAAAATTAGTTAGAAACAAGCCTAAGCTAAGGCCAAGCTTTCATAATTAATATGAAGTCTCAGTGCCATTTTTTGTGAGCTGGAAGCCCAAAGGAAAGTCTGACTACATATGGTATCCAATGTGAGAGCTCAAATATCCAAACAAAGAACCTGAGAAATCTAAGAAAAGGTCTAGAGAAGGAGCCAGATATAGCTTTCTAGTCTTGCAATCTCTCAGGTGGGCCAGTGCTTGGAACATAGAGGCAAGGCTACCAGCCGCTACCTGTGGGTTTGAGCCAGTCACCAGTGGCATGTACCAGTTCCATACACTAATCTGAGTCATGTGGCAGTGACATGGCAGTTTAAGATTTGTCTCATGCAGTCAGAGAACACTGCAGGTACTCAGTAAAGACAGATCCAGATTGGAAAAAAAAACAAAAAACATCTAAATAGCTCACAGTGTGTTTAAAAAATGTACGTAGGCTTAAAAAAAGGAAAGAAAATGGGTATAGACAATCAGAAAAAAAGTTTATAAAACATAAAATAAAGTCATTAAAGAAAGAATAAAACAATATAAAAAAGACAAGCCATGTAAAGATGGAAACTGCACAGGGAGTCTGGATCCTGTATGGTGCCTTGCTGATTTTTTGAATGCTGATGAGTGAATTGACAACTGCTGAGAGACATGGGATTATAAAGGGGACTGCAGGATTAAACCAGCCTAGCTACTTTAGGAATGCCTTAAGTGGACATCAGAAAATGTATTGGGTTGAGGGAGAGGTTTTACTTTTGTTTCCACAGAAAACAAAAGGCTGTGGATCCATTCAAGGTTGATAGATTTCAGGTTAGATTGGAGAAGACCCCCTGAAAATCCTGGCTACAAATATAAAGAAATAAACCTAGAAAAACCGCAAGACAGGTGATATATATTTTACCTGCTTAAACATAAAACAAAAAACATCATTAGCTAGTGTACAATGTACAATCCATACTATACTATGTTAATAAAGATATGTATGTTACCTTTGAAACTTTGTGTGTTTTCAAGCAAGGAAACCAGACACTGAAAATGGGAGCCTCAGGTAATCCAGCCTCTCAGAGTGCCCTGTTGCAGTTTCCTCAGAGTTCTGCATCCAGAACAGTTTCAAGGCTACTGGATGAGATGGTTCAAACTCACAGAGTATTCTAGATGGGACTGCAGATAAGCCTTGTGCTTTCCCATTGCACAGAGACTGAACAACAAATGTTATGGCTAGCTCTCCCAGGACTTGACAATTATCCCAATTTTCTCAGGGCCCCCCCAAAGATGCCATCACCCTCAGACAATAGAAAGCAGTCTAGGGAACATGATGCCCATATTCCCAAAATGTGTGATGGGTGGTTTTTGGTCATTTGATGGGTATGGATGTTTGTCATCATTTAAGGTGGTTGGTTACAAGTTGTTACTGGTCATGGTCAGGGAGAAAGCTAAACAAAGGAGATTAGAATTAGAGATCTCTTTCTGAGAGGGAAAGGGGGGATATAGTATACAAACGATGGGATAAAAGGGTAGATTGTTGGCTTTACTTTTGAACAACTTCTAGTCTCAACTATTTTATATTGGTACGGATTTTTGTATATTGATACCAATCTAGGGCTATTTTTGTTATACTGTTCATATGGTTTTATTCTTCTTTAAGGTATTGTACCTATGTAGTTCTTTTAAAAATGTAAAGTTTTAGTCCTTGAAAGCTATTTAAGACAATAAGGAAAGATGGTTTAGTAGTTAGGCATCTATAACAATAAAACTTATAGTCAGGTTAGGTATGCTTTCAAAGTCAAAAAGACATAATTTTTTTTAAAGATAGGAGGTCTTCAAACACTTCAAAGACCTACAGAATATGGCATTTTAAATGTTTTAATAACATAAGGCTTTTTGTGACAGTGAGACATGCCTGCTCTAGGCAGCACCAATTTACTTTTTAAAAAGATGATGGGCCTGGAAGAAACTCCACATAGAGTTTGCTTTCATTTGTGGCAAAGCTAGCCATATGGCAAGACATAATTGCCTTTGCCTCAAGTGCTGACAGTATGCTGTCCAAATTGAACAAGCAGGACACAAAAGAAGGCAACTGCCAAAGTTTGCCAAGACAAGGTAGGACAGTCCTTGGGTCTCTGATGGAGTTGAAGATTAGATAGTTTTAGTTACAGTTTTTCTTGTTACCAAATTCAAAGAAGAAACTCACAAAAGAGGTGTAAAGTGTATAAAATTGAGAGACATAAAAACTTAAATTGTTTATCTAAAAATTTTTTGAGGTCTATAAAATTATTTTTGGGTTGGTAATACAAGTCAGGATAGAAAGTGAATTAGGTACAGAACTTTGGACTGACTCAGCAAGACAGGATAGAAAATGGAGTATTTTCACTGAATTTGACAAATTCTAATGGATTGGACATTGTGAATGTAATTCTTACCTGATTATTGTTCTTATTATATATAGTCCTACTGTGTTAGAGTTTAAACCTTTCTTTGTATTTAGACAAAAAGGGGGAAATGCTGTGGAATAATCTTTTTGTAGACTGTGAAGATGTGTCTTTGCCAAGGTGCCTTCTGATTGGTTTAATGAAGACCTGAATAGCCAAATGCTAGGCAGGAAGAAATTAGGTGGAATTTCTGGGCAGAGAGAAAAGAAGAGGAGATGAATCT